GTTGTTATTCATTATTTATAAGTGTTTTCTTGAAACTAAATGTCCTGGTAAGAAGAAAATATTGAGTAAAAGAATTTAGTAAGTATATTTATGAATTATAAGAGATTTAATTTATAACTTCCTAATTTTTGAAATTCTATTAAGCCGACAGTGTTCAAAACTTTCTCCTGGTTCCATCCAAGCAAAACAGGGCCAAAAGACCTTGACTCCAATTTCTACCTCAAATCTGCTAGAAACAGGGCCAAACGGCAGTATTATCTTACAGGTGAGTTAATATTGTTTGATTCTGCTTGTTGTCCCTTCAAATGAAAAGTGGAAATTTACCCCATTTTTTCTGTTATAATCAAATTGTTACAGGTGTTATCCCCTCAAAACTTTGGAGTTTGAGGAATCTAGCAATCCTATCTCTCCATGATAACAATTTCACAGGACCTATTTCTTTATCACTTGGTAATTTAATAGAAATGCTCTCTTTGGATCTATCTTATAACCATTTTTATGGTCCCATCCTTTCTATTATAGGTAATTTAGCATGGATGCAAATTTTGTCCACCTCTTATAATTACCGTGATGGTCCAATCCCTTCAACTCTTGGTAATTTAACCAATTTATATTGTTTGGCCCTCGATTTCCACAAATTCAATGGATCTATTCCCATAACATTTGGTAATTTAAGGAATTTTACCGATATTTTTCTTAATTCTAACAAAGTCAATGGCTCGATTCTTGATAAGCTCACTCTATTTACCCAACTTCAATATTTAGACTTCTCAGATAACAAACTTAGCGGTCCCATATCATCTGGGATCAAGAGTTGCAAAGACTTGAGAAGTTTGAATTTGAGCAATAATATTTTGAGTGGAAAAATTCCACTAGAGATTGGAGGGCAATCTTTGTCACAATTGGATCTTTCCAATAATAACCTTTCTGGTACAATCCCTGATTCCCTCTATCCATGGGAGTACTTGAACTTGTCATACAACAATTTGGAAGGACAAATCCCAACTCAATTGCAAAATTTGAAGCTACCACAACAATTTACAGGCAACAAAGGTTTATGTGGTCAAGTCAGTGGTTTTACTCCTTGCTATACTACTCCTAGAGCACCTACATCACCATCCAAAAAGATTGACATTGGCTTGACAACTGTTATATTGCCTATCACAATTGTTCTAACCGTCCTGATTTTCAGATTGATTTTTCTAAAAATTAAGGATAAAAAAGTATTGTCAACATCCACAAGAGCATCCAAAATCAGAGATGTTTTCTCAATATGGAATTATGATGGTAGAATTGTATTTGAGGACATAAATGAAGCATCAAAAGATTTTGACATCAAATATTGCATTGGAACGAGAGGTTATGGCAGTGTTTACAAAGCACAACTACCCACATGTAAAGTAGTTGCTTTGAAGAAGCTTCATAGTTCAGAAATCGAGGAGATAACTTTCCTAAATAGTTTCCAAAATGAGGTTCATCCGTTCATGTATTATCCGAATTACGATATCGAAACATTATCAAGCTTTATGGATATTGTTTACACAAAAAATGCATGTTTTTGTTTTATGAGTATATGGAGAGGGGAAGCTTGTTTTGTGTCCTACGGAATGATGACGAAGCTCGAGTTGGATTGGACTAAGAGAGTAAACATTGTAAAAGCTGTGGCACATGTTTTTTCTTACTTACATCATTATTGCACACCATCAATTGTTCACCGTGACATAATAAGCACACCATCATTCTACTAAACTTGGAATTGTAGGCATTTGTTGGTGACTTTGGGTTGGTTAAACTTCTACATCCTGACTCCTCCAATAGAATCATAGTAGCAGGCACTTATGGATATATAGCCCCGGGTGAAAATACTTAGTTACTCTTTTATATACACCTAACTTTCGACATCATTAATTGCTAAAGTTGAATCAAATAATAAGAATGTGACAAATCTCTTTATTTCTTCTAATTAACTTCTAATTTTCTATGTAGAACTTGCCTACATAATGGTTGTGACAGAAAAATGTGACGTTTATAGTTTTGGGGTCGTGGCACTTGAAACATTAATGATGGATCAATATCTAGGAGAACTACTTTCATCATTATCATATTCTTCTAATCAAGATAGAATGCTTATTGATGTATTAGACCCACGCCTTCCACCTCCTGTAAAAGAAATGGTTGTGCAGGATATTATTCTTATTTCAAGAATAACATTTGCTTGCTTATGCACCAGACCAAAGTCACGACCTACAATGCATATGGTGTCTCATGAATTTCTTGGCCCCAAGAGAGCATTGGCAAAACCTTTCCCTAAGATGGCTTGCTTATGCACCAAACCAAAGTAACGACCTACAATGCATATGGTGTCTCATGAATTTCTTGGCCCCAAGAGAGCATTGGCAAAAATTTTCCATGAGATCTCCATCTCAGAATTGAGAAACCAAGAAATGTATGCAGTTGAGGAATGTGTAGTTAGGCAAGGAAGTGTTTCATTGTTCGGTAATAATCTTGCACCGCTAACAAGATTTGTAATTTAGCCTCACTTTTGAGATTAATTACTTCCCTTAATAATCATCATCATCTTTGATCAAAATATAATGTTAATTGACATATTAGACTCACACCTCTCGCCTCTAGTTGATCAAATAATTGTGCAGGATCTTGTTCTTGCTTGTGCAATAGCATTCGCATGCTTGCGTCCCAATTGAGAGTCTCGAATAATTAAGAAAACAAAAAAGTGTATTTGTGTAAAACTCCCATCTTTAATTCTTATAGATTATGTATATTTTGTGGTTTTGTTTATGAGAAAGGGCATTTCTGTCAGTTTATAAAGTTGTGTCGGGGGTAAAAACAAATGAAAGGAAAACTTCTGGGTATGCGATGAAGAAGCTGATGTATTGGGGTTTTAGAAGAATTGAGTTAATTTTGGGGAGATATTTGAAACATTAAAAAGTGTGTCATATAAAAAGGCAGCTTTTGCCCAAACTGAAAGAAGAAGAAGAAGCCGAGACAGAAGAAGACCCAGACAGGAGAGACAAGGAGAGAGAAAAGAAGGAAGAAGAGCGGAAGAAGAAGAAGAGAACAGAAGAAAGAGGTGTTTCGGTCTAGAGATAGAGTGAGAGAGGAAGAGTGAAGCAAAGATGGAGGATGAGAATTATGAGATATTGACGCAGATCCCACCATTTTTTATTTCGGTTAACCTTTGCATGTGTTTGGATTGATGGATCTCCTCTCCCTTTCCTCAATTTAGACTTGTACCTAGATTAATTGTTTGTCCTTTTTGGATTTAGGTGTGCAGGAAGAGAGTGCTTGGGGTTTCCTTTCAAAGTTTCGGTTGAGCTAAAAATTGTGAGTGGGATTCAACCAGTATTCTTTTCAAACTTAAATTAAAGCCTTTGCATGTAAATTTTATAATGCTATTTCAATGATTGAAGTAATTTTTGTGTTAAGTGTGATTATTTGGTGAATCTTGCTTTGCATGTTTCGGCTGAGCTAATTTTTGGGTGAAAATGCATTAGACCTGGTTCCCAAGGGATGAGTTTTCATGCTGCATGTTATTTAAATATATGTATAAACCATAAAGGTGTATTTGGTGGTTTGTTCTTTAAAATGGGATGTTGGTTTAATTTGGAGATGGTTTTGCTAGTTAAAGAGTGAGTGGAAAAAATTTCAATTGAGATTTTAGCTTGCATTATCTTTTCCTTAAGCTAATTGTTTTGTTTAAAATCTTAAATTATTTGGAAATTATGGTTAAAATGTTTTATTTTAAAAGGTGGGTTACTAGAGAGATGAGTTAATATTATTGCTTGAAGAGTGGTTAAAGGAAGTGTTAGACCTGTTCAGAATAGTAAAAAATTTAAGTTTGCATGTTGCCATATTTGATTGATTTTGGTAATTACCCTCAAAATGAATGTGATATGTTTTCAGATTTTTCAAATATGTATATATTATTTGTTGTGTTTTTTATGATGAAAGCAAGAGAATGTTTTACAAAAAGTGTATTCGATAAACAGGTTTTACTAGTTTTACAGATTTTCACACAGCACGTCTCACCCACCCAAGTCTCATGGGTGCGCTCAGAGCCTGTGGGATAGGGAGGGTCAGGACAGGTTGGGTCATATTAATTAATGAGTGTGATTGTTAAGCATGGTAGTCTTGTCTATAATGAAGTAATTATGTAGTTCCTGCTTCACCATCTAAATATAGATTTTTGGACTGTCATTTTAAGTATCATACAGGTTTTAAATTCTGTAAATAAAGAGGAAATTAAACTTTTACTTGGGCCTTCTGTCCCTAGAGACATTAGTGTCATTAAGCCAAACTTGCCTGTCAAAAAAAAAAGGTGTCACCTTGAATTTCTTTTGTGAGAATGAATTCTTAAGATTAAGCTGCCAAGACAACAAATATGAAAGTCAAAAGACAACAAGAAACTTGAGGAATCCCCAGCAATAATCTCCATCTTTCCAAATGATTAGTATAAATATTTTAATTAAGTAATCAAAGTGAAAAAGACCTTGACTCAATGTGCTTGTGTCAACGCCGAAACTTTGACTTGAAGATTCCATCCTAGAAAAAAAAGCTCAAAAACCTTTGACATCATAAGTCAACCCTGTATTTACAGGAAATATCATGTGCATTTGGTCTCGGCCATTGAAATTCTAAAGTTGGATAAGTTTATATTGCACTCTTATAAGTTAAGTTTCACTTATGGTTAGGTCGATTAGCTATACAGCTGTATAGAGTAACATTTACAGAGAAATTAGACTTTCTTGAGGCAGGACAAACCAGAATGGAGTTTAGCTCAAAACTTTATCTAAAGTAGTAGAATCAACCCAAAGGTCTTAATTAATAAATATTGTGCATATGTTCTCCAATTACAGAGTGATGGTGATATGGGTTACTCTGTTTATATGCCATGTGGCTACTGTTGCTCATATTTTTATGGCAGCATCTGAAAAGTCATCAATACAATTAGAAAAGGAAGCCCTGTTTAACACCAATTGGTGGCAAAACGTCGAGGCCATCAATTCTTCTGATCATTGCACTTCGTCTAGTGTATCTTGCAACATAGCGGGAAGCGTTACTGGACTAAGCTTAATTAGTACCAATATAACAGGGAAGCTTTCTTGTTTCAACTTCTCTTGCTTTCCAAACATGGAAAGTCTCATTCATTCGGATAATAATCTCTTTGGAAGCATTCCGTCACAAATTAGTACTCTTACAAAGCTCATATGCCTTGGCCTGTATAACAACAATATTAAAGGTAAGATTGCTTTTTCTATCTAGTTTTACATCTTAATAACAACTGGATATATATACCCCTTTCCTTTTGTCACGTTACAGGTTCTATCCCTTCAGAAATTGGGTTCTTGAAGAATCTGGAGAAGTTGGATTTGAGTGGTAACAATCTCAATGGTCAATCCCTTCAACTCTTGGTCAATTAACCCAGTTGAGCTTTTTGTACCTCTCTAGTAACAAGCTTGATGGTCAAATCCCTTCAAGAATAGGTAATCTAACTAACTTGAAATATATGATCCTTCGTTCCAGTAAACTCAGTGGTTTATTACCCCAAGAAATTGGGAATTTAAAGAATCTGAAGTTGTTGGATTTGCATGGTAACAACCTGATTGGATCTATTCCTTCAAAACTTGGTCATTTAACCAATCTGGTTGAGCTTTATCTAGGTCATAACCAATTCAATGGCTCAGTTCCACCAGAAATAGGGAGTATAAATGGTTTAACTTACTTAGACCTATCAAATAACAACATGCATGGTGTCACTCCTCAAAGAACTAACCTAGTTAACCCAACTTCGATATCTCAATCTTTCCTCAAACCTAATTTCTGGTCAAATACCATCAACAATTGGAGTACTTTACAACCTTGAATATCTTGATCTCTCTTATAACAAACTTAACGGTCCCGTTCCAGCTAGTATTGGCTATCGCTCAGAGTTGCAGGTCTTGACATTGAGCCACAACAGATTCAATGGAAGCATTCCACTAAAGATTGGCCGTTTACACTTCTTAGGATACTTAGATCTTTTGCACAATAACTTTTCTGGCATGATCCCTGAATTTGTGATTACAATACTTATTTTCAACTTGTCATATAATAAGTTGGAAGGCGAAATCCCAGTTTCCTTGTAACAAATAAATGCATGGCAGCAGCTCATTGGCAACAGAGGTTTCTGTGGTCAAGTTAAGAGGTTTTAGTCCTTGCGATGGGCCACCAACATCTTCACCTTCAGCTTCAAGTTCAATTTCAACATTACCTCCACCATTAAGTTCCAACTTCAACTTCACCATCTACAATAAGTAACTTGGAAAAGAAACCCAAAAGATTGTCATTCGCTTGATTACAGTTTTTGTTCCAATCATCTCATTTCTCACCCTGATTTTTGGGTTTTGTTTTCAGTTCAAACATATGGATAAAAGATGTCAACTCCCTACCAAATCATCTATTATGAGTGGAGATTTGTTCTCAATATGGAATTTTGATTTTAGACTTGCATTTCAAGATATAATTGAAGCAACGCAGGATTTTGACATCAAATATTGCATTGGAACTAGAGGTTATGGCAGTGTTTACAAAGCACAATTACCAAGTGGCAAAGTAGTTGCTTTGAAGAAGCTTCATAATTCAGAAATTGAGGAGTTTATAAAATGAATGTGATATGTTTTCAGATTTTCAAAATATGTATATATTATGTGTTATGTTTTTCATGATGAAACCAAGAGGATGTTTTATGAAAAGTATATTCAGTAAACGGGTTTTACAAGTTTTACAGATTTTTACACGACACGTCTCAGTTACCCGAGTCTCATGGGTGCGCCAGAGCATAGGAAGGGTCGAGGTGGGTCGTGTCAGTTTGATTATGAATGTGATTGTTAAGCATGGTAGTCTTGTCTATAATGAAGTAATTATGTAGTTCCTGCTTCACCATCTAAATATACATTTTCCTACTGGCAATTTGAGTGTCATACAGGTAGCAAGATTTTTAATTTAGCCTCATTTTCGAGATTAATTACTTCCCCTAATGTTGTCTTTTATCTTTTCTATACTGAAATATCTTTTCATGTGCTGCACTAAAATTTACTTTCAGAAAAGACATCATTAATATCTCTAATAGAGTTTTTCAATGCGCAAATAATGACCAAACGTGTTATTTGAGCTTCTAGCCTTGACACTTTAGTTTAATAATTTAGCTGGCTATTCTCAATTTAACTGTTGAAGTTTTCTGATTAATGAATTAGATGAAACGATAAAATGTAAAAAGAGTTATCTCCTTGAAATTCTAATACCAAAATGATTTGTGAGAAAGAAACTTAAGAATGTAAATATGAGCCTAAGAATGCAAATCAGAAGATGTCACAGGCTCTGAAACATGATAACCTGTAACATTTTCTAACACGGCAGAGGCCTAAGAGTCCTAAGCACGGCAAATTAAGTCTTGTGAAAAATTATATCTTATTCCTTTCTCCATCATAAGCACGGCAAATCACTGTGCTCGCTGCCAGCTACAGGATAACGCATTATGGTCAACATAAATTAAAACTTCAAATTAGTGCGGTGTTTGCTTTCTCGTCTTCTTTTCATGCAACTTTCTAAAAGCTCGCTCTTAAAAATCACGAGAAACACGAATGTCTCTTCTTCTCGGAAACTAAAATTAGCGTATTAGGGACGTGAGAATATTGAAAGGGATGGTAAATCTTTTACTCACCTGAAAGATTTGCTTTATACTTTCTAATGCCTAAAATTCTATTGAGCCGACACAGTCGACAACTTATGAATTAGGTCCAAGTCTTCTTAAGTAAAAAAAAGCTAGAATTATGATTAAAAAATGACTCAAAATTTAATGGAGGTTTGCCTAACTTCAAATTTAATATATCTATCTATTGGCTTCAGGTAGAGAGTATCCAGAAAAATGAAGCAAAAGATTGTAAACAGTTCAATTCCACATGAGCTTATTCAATTAGCCAAAAAAATGAAGCAAAAAAATTGATCACTTTGAAATTGAATGGGAACAACCTCATTGGACCAATTCCTTCAACATTGGGTCATCTAAACAATCTCACTCATTTGTATCATTACCAAAATCAACTCAACAGCTCAATTCCGCATGAGCTTATTCAATTAGCCAAACTTCAAAGCACCTTCTCAAATAAGAGAGAGTTCAATCATATGATACTTGGACCTTTCGCACAATAACCTTTCTGGAACCATCCCTGAATCCCTCAATCCAATGTCAGACAATAATTGGACGGTGAAATTTCAATTAATTTGAAACAAATAATATTAGACGTACAAAGAGTTTTATACAAACTGATATAATAGAAAATGAATGAAACAGTAAATATAAAAAGTCAAACTTATCATATTCACCCTTCCACTCATAGAATAAAATTTTAAATTTTATTATTTAATCTCCAGTTTGGTTTATTATCTTCTTAAAGTATGTGAAAAAGACCAGCAGCAAGCAACAAGCACATAGAAGACGCAAGAAAAGAAAGCATATTGGTAATATGAAAGAGGTATTAACACAACCACCATCTCAATAAAGATGTGAAAGCATGAGAACGCTAATATTCACTGACCTATTGAATTGCATGGACCCTAACATCCTGTACTCTAAGCATGTTTTACCGTTTTAGAAGAAGACAAGACAAAAAGACCTTGACTTTTTAAGCTCGTGTGAACACCACAATAATGGTCAAAAGACAACTTAGGCTGCTCATCACATGGCCAATTTACGATTCTCTTTAACATTTCGGAAAGTTCATGGTTTTTTTTCAAATAAAAACAATACAGATTATAGTTATTCTAATGCACATACTCTGGCCTCTACTGGTATAAATCTTTTAAAAGATTCATATTTTCTTCTAGTCCTTTGACCATATCTCTTTATTGGATTCATTGAGTGGAAAGCTATTTTATTTTATAAAATTCAGTGTGCTTAAGTAAAATCATTTACCAATTAAGTCTTGTATAAAAATTATACTTAGTTCCTACAGTTTAAATTAGTTCAATATTGTGCTTAAAGATTGGTAAACTCTTCTAGTTCTTTGCTCATATCTCTATATTGGGATCCATTGAGTAGAAAGTTATTTTTTTTTTCAGAAAATCTATTGTGCTTGTGGAAAATAATTGCAAATTAAGTCTTGTGAAAAATTATATTTTATCTGGATTCCTTTCTCCATTATAAGCATGGCAAATCACTGTGCTTGTCTGCATGCCAGCTACAGAAAAATGCATTACAGTCAACATAAATTAAAACTTTTAAGTAGTGCGGTTTTTGCTTCCTCGTCTTCTTTTCATGCAACTTTTTAAAAGCTCGCTCTTAAAAATCACGAGAATTAGGTATTAGGGATGTGAGAACACTGAAAGGGATGGTAAATCATTTACTCACCTAAAATTATAATGGAAAAATACTGACATATTGTGTAGCTGTACCACGGACATATAAGTGTCCTACAATTATATACAAAAAGACCAGAAGACTTTGTCTCACCGGGGCTAAATTTTGTTCATTGATTTCAATCAAATTTTATGAAGATATTCCTGAATTCCTCAATCCAATGTCAGACAATAATTTGGAGGGTGAAATTCCAATTAACTTTTAAATTATGGAGGGACACACACAATTACAATAACGATATTAATAGTCTAGTTTTAGTGGAAGACCTTGACTTAATACGCTCGTGAGAACACCACAATAGTAGTCAAAAGACAAATTAAGTTGCTTATCACATGGTTTTTGTTCAAATTATAAAATAATTCTTCGTGGACTACATATTTCTTGCCTTAGACTAGCTTTAGCTATTAGTAACTTGAGAAAATTCAAAGAAATGAACTTTGTAGTGACCAAAAAGTCCAAAGAGAAAGTGGATATAATTTTGATAATAAGATATCAAGGATAAATATTTAAAGATCTCAAACAATTTACACATTTCTAAGGGTGAATCCAGAAATCAATTGTTTTACTTGTTTTTTACAAATCCAAGATTCATGAATAATAATTAACAAAATATATGAACTTTCTAAAGGAATTTTATCTATTCAAAAATTCATGAAACTTGACTAACTTGTATGATTGTGTCAAAGACCAAAATTCTGATGAAAAGGTTTGCTATACCGTGATGCTTGCCCTAGAGGATATTTTAGCTAGGTCTATTATTCTTGTGGAAACCGTGTTTCCTGTTAACTAAAAGTTAAACCCAAAAGACTTTAATTTCAGTTGTCTATTTCACCTTGGTGAAGGTTCAAGAGCTCCATATTTTTTACATACATAATGTTTAGGCTGTAAATCTAATTATTTTTGGATAGCACATATAATGCACTCTGAACATGGCACAACTTAGATTCAATTTTAGTCATTCAAAAGCTCTTAAATCTAACTCTTTTACCTTAGTGGGAATATAATGTGTTTGTTGGAAATCATAAAAACAAGAGGAATTAGGACCTTTTATGATTAAAAAAAAAAAAATAGAGGTTCGGCTTGCTCGTTTCTCTTTTATTTGATAGCATTGATTGCCTTGTGGAATATTATCACCACCAATTGTGTCCTTTGGAAAATCAACGTCAAGTAAGTCTTGTGGAAAATTAAAAGTTTTGGATTCCTTTTCTACACCACCAATTGAGAGTGAAATATCACCGTGTTTCAAGCTTGTTTTTTGTAAACACCAATAATTAAGAGTTAGCACTAATGGACAAAAATTGACTTGGCCTGGGGTGAGCCAACTTGAATGGAGGTTCGGCTAGCTTAAAATTTAGTATAAGCTTGCTTCAGGTGGAGGATAGCAAAAGATTTTAAACATGGTGTTCACATCCTTCACTTACGGAGTGGTGGTCATATGGGCTACCATTTTGACATGCCACGGACACTCCACGTGTCACTTGGTTCTCTCTTAATGCACCCAAAAACATGAGCACTTCTCTGCATCTATGTCTCCCTTATAATGTTTTTAGTATTCAGGTTGTGGGTTATAAGAAAATAAAAATTTAGAAAAAAAATTATTTTGAAGGTTTAATAAAATCATAGATTGAAATAGAAAAGTTACAATAAAATTGAGTTTCTATAATTATTAATAAGAGTAGTTATTGAAGTTTTAATCCGATCGATAATTCCAAAATCTTGAGAGATTAGTTAAAATGTACACAAACAAATCAAAACACTTGGTAATAAAAAAAGTTACAATAATATTTTAAATTTTATTATTTAATCTCCGGTTTGGTTTGGTTTGTTCTATTCTTAAAGTATGTGAAAAAGACCAGTAGCAAGCAACAAGCACATAAAACACAAAGCACATAGGTAATGTGAAAGAGATATTAACACAACCACCACCTCATTAAAGATGGGAAAGCATGAGAAAGGTAATATTGACTTATTACATTGCATGGACCCTGACATCCTGTACACTAAGCGTTTTGCTGTTTTAGAGGAAGACAAGACAAGAAGACCTTGACTTATTACGCTCGTGTGAATACCACAATAATGGTCAAAAGACAATTTAGGTTGCTTATCACATGCCCAATGTACTATTCTCTTTAACATTTCGGAAAGTTCATGGTTTTTGTTCAAATAAAAACATTATTCGTGGACTACATATTTCTTACCTTAGACTAGAGCTTTAGCTATCAGTAACTTGGGAAAATTCAAAGACACAACTTTTCGTAATGACCAAAAAGTCCAAAGAAAAAGTGAGTATGATTCGCACAAGAAAGTCTCATTTTATTCAAACCGTGTAAAAAAATCTCGAAATCTCTATCGTAGAATTTTCCTTGATTGTTATAGTTTATAATACAAATATAAAATATTGATTTTTCTTAACTTTTGGTTATAATGGACTTTAATTTATTGATTTATTTACTTAACAGTCAAATGCTAAATAAACTATATCACCTTAAAGGTATATAAGCAATTCGATATTTATTATTATTATTTATTAATGAGTTAAATTAATATTTATTTTACATTTATGCTCTTTTTAATGCTTATTATTTATTAATAAGTATATATGTAGTTATCTACAGTATTAAATGAAATGATTAAGGATAAATACTTGTAGATCTCAAACAAAATGAATATTATATTTGAGGTTATAAGAAAAATAAAAATTAGAAAAATGTTATTTTGAAGATTAAATAAAATCATAGCTGCAAAATGAAAAGTGGCTGTCAAATTTTAGATTTCTCTTCTTTAATTAACCTTTTTTTTTAAGTTTAATATATAGTGTTCAATTGTTCTTATTTATTATAAAGTCCTTGTTTATTCATTTGTAATTTTTTTTCCGAACAATAAATATGCATGTTTTGGTAAAAATATGAAATCTCAGTAAAGACATTTAATTAATATTTAATTATAATGAATCGTCACAATTGACAACTTGCTCCACGATCATTCCTAACAAAAAAGCCAAAAAGACTTTGACTCCAGCTGTCTACCATAATCTAATATACCGTAAGACTTGTTTAATTCTATGAGTGTTTATTAAGGCTCAAGTCCTAAAGTCAAGAAGAGCTAGAATTTATAACTAAAATATTGACTCAGCCTCGGCAAGGCCAATTAAATGGAGGTTTAGCTACCTTCAAACATATTATATATAAACTTACTTCAGTTAGAGAGTATCAAACAAAAGATTTTAAACATGAAGTTCACATCCTTCACTTCTAGAGTGGTGTTCATATGGGCTACCCTTTTGACTGCATGTTTTCTTGTAGCATCTGAATTATCATCAATACAATTAGAAAAGGAAGCTCTACTTAACACCAGTTGGTGGAGTTGGCAGATGAATTCTTCAGATCATTGTCAGTGGTATGGTATCACTTGCGATTCAACAAGACACATCATAGAGATACTTTATAGCCCTCAAGGAGAGCTTAGCCAATTTAACTTTTCTTGCTTTCCAAACTTAAAGAGTCTCGATTTTTCATCAGTTTATCTCACCGGAAGCATTCCATCACAAATTGGTGTACTTTCAAAGCTCAAATTCCTCAAGCTGTCATATAGTCAAGTTACAGGTACGTTACTTATTTTATTTTATTGTTTTATCATTTCAAATAATAGGTCAATCTAATCAAATTGACAATTTTTTTTTTCTTTTTTTTTATTAAATAAAATTAAAGGTGTTATCCCTTTAGAAATTGGAAGCTTGAGCAGTCTCATGGAACTGGATTTTTCATCAAACAAACTCAATGGATCAATCCCTTCATCGGTTGGTCGTTTGACCAAATTGACCACATTGTCTCTATCTGGTAACAATTTTATTGGAGCAATCCCTTCATCTATTGGTGATTTGATCAAATTAATCACTTTAGATCTGTCTGGTAACGCTTTTACTGGAGCAATCCCTTCATCTATTGGTAATTTGACCAAATTGACCACTTTATATCTGTCTAGTAACACTTTTACTGGAGCAATCCCTTCATCTATTGGTAATTTGACCAAATTGACCACTTTAGATCTGTCTAGTAACACTTTGACTGGAGCAATCCCTTCATCTATTGGTAATTTGACCAAATTGACCATTTTAAATCTGTCTAGTAACACTTTGACTGGTCAAATCCCTTCAACCATTGCTAATTTAACCAATTTAGAATATTTATTCCTTGATTCCAACCAACTCAGTGGTCCCCTACCTCGAGAAATTGGGAATTTAAAGAACCTTATGGAATTACTTTTGAGGGGGAATAACTTGATTGGACCTATTCCCTTAACATTTGGTTATTTAGCAGATTTGACCCATCTTGCCCTTAGTTCTAACAAACTCAACGACTCAATTCCTGATGAGCTCACCCAATTAACCCAACTTCAATTTGTAGACCTCTCTCATAACAAACTTAATGGTCACATTCCAATTGGCATAAATAGTTGCGTGGGGTTGTCAAGCTTAAATTTGAGCTATAATCATTTGAGTGGAAGAATTCCACTAAAGATTGGAGGATACCTTTTAGCTCAATTAGATCTTTCCAATAATAACCTTTCTGGCACAATCCCTGATTTTCCCATTCCATGGATGTACTTGGACTTATCATACAACAATTTGGAAGGTCCAATCCCACTTGAACTTTTGAACCCGAAACTTATAGGCAACAAAGGTTTATGTGGTGCAGCTTACGGTTTTACTCCTTGCGAAAAGAAGCCTAATTTGATAATAGTTATTCTGCCTATCACCACTATTCTTACCATCCAGATTTTTAGATTTTTTTCCCTCAAAAGAAAGGATAAAAAAGCTCTATTGTCCACATCCACAAGAGCATCCAAAATCAGAGATGTATTCTCCATATGGAACTTTGATGGTAGAATTGCATTTGAAGACTTAATTGAAGCGACAGAGGGTTTTGATATCAAATATTGCATCGGAACTGGAGGTTATGGTAGTGTTTACAAAGCGCAACTACCCCAAGGTAAAGTAGTTGCTTTGAAGAAGCTTCATAGTTTAGAAATTGAGGAGTCAGCTTCCCTAAACAGCTTCCAAAACGAGGTTCGTGTACTGTCCGAATTACGACATCGAAACATTATCAAGCTTTATGGATATTGTTTGCACAAAAAATGCATGTTTTTGATTTATGAGTATATGGAGAGGGGAAGCTTGTTTTGTGTTCTACGGAATGATGATGAAGCTCTTGAGTTGGATTGGACTAAGAGAGTAAACATTGTAAAAGCTGTGGCACATGCTTTGTCTTACTTGCATCATGATTGCACATCATCAATTGTTCATCGTGACATATCAAGCAACAACATTCTACTAAACTCAGAATTGCAAGCGTTTGTTGGTGACTTTGGCGTGGCTAGAATTCTTCATCTTGACTCATCAAATAGAACCATGTTAGCTGGCACTTATGGATATATAGCTCCAGGTAAAGTATCTAGTTACTCTCTCCTTTTAATCTTTTTTCTTATAGATTTATGGCTCCTTTTCATCCTGAAAGTTGAATTACTTCATAACTAAATTGAACTAAAGAAGAATGAAATAATAAATAATATTGGATTACTTTTGGAGAAACTAATTATTAATAATTTTTCATCCTAAATTAAATAATCTCTATACTTCATTTTAAGGTTTCTATTTCCCTTGTAGAGTTAGCTTATACTATGGTTGTGACGGAGAAATGCGACGTTTATAGTTTTGGAGTAGTGGCACTTGAAGTATTAATGGGAAGGCATCCAGAAGAAATTCTCTCTTTATCATCATCATCATCATCTACCCAAAATGTAATGCTAATTGATGTATTAGATTCACGCCTCTCACCTCCAGTTAATCGAATAGTTAAGCAGGAAATTATGCTTGTTTCAACCATAGCATTCGCCTGCTTGCGTTCCAAGCCGAAGTCTCGACCTACAATGAAGCGTGTATCTCAGGAATTTCTTAAGCAGAAAACATCATTCGCAAAATCTTTTGGAGAAATTTCCATCTCAGAATTAAGAAACCAGGAAATGTATTTGTTTGATGAACATGATACTTAAGCATGGATGTAGTTCATTGGTATTTCTGTGTTCTGCAACATTTTTCTGATATTTAGCCTACATTTCCTCATTTCTTTTGTTTTGTATCTTTTTTCTTTTGTTAAGCATGAATTTCTTTTTTACTCTGTTTTCCATTACATGGGTTCAACACCAATTAAGTATAGAAAATCATCAAGTTTCTGTACCACTAGATGTTGAATCAAGCACTGTAATCAAGGCCAATAATATTGATGTATTCCAAGTGTTCAGTCTTAACCAAAAATTAAACCCAAGACTTCAGTTTTCTCCCTCTCTCTATACATGTATTCCAAGTGTTGACTTATATCTCTTTCTCTGTCTCAATTAACTTAGTTGTGGCTGAATTATTTCTTGGATGTGGGAAATATTAGATTTCTCATGCTTTCAGATCTTTAATGAGGTGGTGGTTGAGTTAATATCTCTTTCTCTGTCTCAATTAACCTTCTTTTTTTTTTTTTTTGGTTATTAATGACCCTATTAAAAATCTGTATTACTCATTTGTTCCCTGTACCTTAGTGTTGTTATTCATTATTATAAATGCTATTTTATTTATTTATAAGTGATTCCTTGTAACTAAATGTCTTGGTAAAAAACAATTTTTGAGTAAACGAATTTAGTAAATATATTTATGAATTATAAGAGATTTAATTTATAACTTCCTAATTTTTTGAAATTCTATTGAGCTGGCAGTATTGAAAACTTCCTCCAGGTTCCATCCAAGGAAAAAAGGACCAATAGACCTTGACTCCAATTTCTACACTTCCTCGAAATATCATGTGCACGTATGGACCATCGAGATTTTAGTGCTTAGGGAGTCCTCACGGGACCAGTGAAGATGCCACAGCTTCTCAAAAGGCATAAGCTGTATTAGTTAAACCAAAATTGAGAGGGAGAGAGAGATTAATTAACACAACAAAAAACCAAAGAATTATCCTTGGTAATTTTTTTTTCATGTTTAAAACTATCCCATTTCCGAACAGAGACTTTTTCGGTAACAAAATGAGGTAAACAAAGGATAATATAACTCTTTGTTCTTGGTGCTTAACATTTAGGTTTGATATAAACTAACAGCTATGGTCGATTGACAATAGGATTAGGTGAGCTGTTAGGATTGTTACCAGGATCAACATTAGGCTTAGGTGACCGGTTAGGATTGTTACTAGGCTTGGGTGACCGGTTAGGATTGTTGCGATGATATGGTGAGACATGTGGACCATGTGGTATGGAGACGCTTCTTGTTGGCTGTCCATTCCTTGGAATGTTCCCCGCTTGCACTCTAGTGCCACGGTTAGCATTCGAGTTGGACCCTGCACGCTCTGTTTGAATTGCTTGGAAGTATGAAGAAGAAGAGGCCATGTCTGTCAGGGTAGGCAGTGGCTTAAGGGCTTCAACCACTTCACTCATAAGAGGTCTTGTTTTAGGGTCACGGTTGAGGCAGCAGGTAGCCAACTGAATTGCTTTCTGAGCACCTCTGATCGAGAAGCATCCTTCAAGGCGAGGATCCATTAGCCGGTAGAACCTTCTCCTCTCTACAAGATGTGGTCTAGCCCATTCAACCAGGTTATGCTCTCCATTGGGTCGGTTTTTGTCCATTGATCTTCGGCCAGTCAACATTTTAAGTAAAACCACCCCAAAGCTATAGACATCGCTCTTGGATGTAAGATGCCCTGTCGCAAATTGAATTCTGTTAGCATGAACTGATTTCCATATGATTCAGATAACTAAACAATATTGAAGTTCCCGTATAAATGCATTCAGTATCTACCAAGGGAAGTAAATCCATTTAGAAGATAAAATTTGAACAAGTTTTCTCACGAATAAACCCTAACTGGAGAACAAGTTATTTGACAAAAGAAATCAAACAATGACAACCCAAATTTAATAACAAGAAGCCTAATGCATAACCATATATCGATTCTAGAACTCAAGGTTCCTATTTCAATTGAATTACTTCAGCAAATCTTATTTAAATCATGATTTATTCTGTTATAAATACATGTACTGATCCAAGCCTAAAAATGAAGAAATTGTAGTAACCAAATAATAGATTCTCCACACATGGAAATATATCCACCATTGTGATCATCAATTTTCATATGAAAATACCTTCGGCTCATACCCCACTCTTCAGATCCAAGCACCTAATTCAAAGTGCTTCAAGGGTACATACTTTTGTTTCAATTACCACATCAACTACTTCTGTCTTCTTCTAAGGTATGTACCCGTGGATCAGCAGTGACAAGTAAAGGTGAGTCGGGTATGGTACTGATGGTGGTAATGGTCTCTAATATATACACCATATTAAATAGGACAACTAGGAGAAGTACAAAGAAATGCAGGAAAACATAAGCAAGAGAACAGCCTAAAACTAACAGGTGTAGGAGACAGCAAAGTATTCTATTCAACATAAGTTAAACCAGCTGGACATTGTTTTAATCCAGAATACAGATAAAAATGAACAAAAAGAAAAGAGAGTTGTTTAATCATTCTAACCTGTCATCACATACTCAGGGGCCGCATAACCATAAGTTCCCATTACTCGAGTAGATACATGAGTCTTATCTCCCTCTGGACCATCTTTGGCAAGTCCAAAATCAGAAAGCTTGGCATTATAGTCCTGGACGAGTGATTTAGCAAACAATTAGAAGTGGCATAAATAAGGAAAAGATAGATTCTGTTGGTTTACGCACCCTATCTAACAGGATATTGGAGGTCTTAAAGTCTCGATATATCACTGGCTTTTCAGCTTCTTCATGAAGAAAGGTGAGGCCCTTTGCAGCACCAAGTGCAATTTTCATTCTGATGGACCAAGGAAGAGGCAGAGACCCTGTTCATAAACTAAAGTTATTTCCAAAGAAATGTGAAGAAAAGATCTGCATGCAGATCATCACTTGGCCAAAAGGATGCTGCTGTCTCTGGGGGCTAATTGGATGCACAACTCTTTTGTGCATTTAGTTAGGAAATATCTATATTTATGATAAAGAGAGTATGTAAAGGATGCTACAGGCTGTACATTCCATAAACGGTTGAGAAAACATTTTTATGATGCAATAGAAGAAATGTAGCCAAAATTGGCGAAATAGTAAATGCAGTTACATACTTCTAAACGGGTGGTTCTCCGAGCTTCCTCGAGGCATAAACTCATACACAAGTAGCCTCTGGTCATCCTCAAAACAACCAATTAACTTAACCAGATTAGGATGGAGGAGGTTACCAAGAAAATTAACTTCAGCCTGCCATAAGGTAGAGATCAGAAACTTTCTTTCCATCAAAGGGAAAGTCAAGATACCTTAAAAATAAGCCAAATCTCCCAGCAAGATTTATATTTATTTATACATATTCACACACATGCAAACAGGCACGCACAAGCATAAACACACACGCACGCGTAGATACACATATGAAAATAATTAAATGATAAGGATCACATACAAGCCATTCTTTATGACCGTGAAGTCCATCATGGTTGAGGGTTTTTACAGCAACAGGCAGGCCCAAGACAGGTTTCACCGGAGATGTTCCATTCTCATTGATCCAACCTTTATATACACAACCAAACCCACCCTCACCAAGAAGACTCTCAGGTGTAAAATTCCGGGTTGCTGACTTAAGCTCATTATAGGAGAATTTCCGAAGCTGGGAAGAAATTTTCAGTTCTTCACGTCTGTTAGGAGTGGATGGAGTAGTACTTAAGGTGGTGCTTGTAGTTGTAGTTGAAGACGATACTACTGGAACAACTGGTTGGTCTCGACTGTTATCATTTGTAGATTTACTTTCCGCTGATTCACACACAAAAGAAAAAGAACAAAGAATAATATCAGTGCTGTTAGATACAACAGTAATCAGTTAAGATATGCATTACTAAATCATACACTGGATGAAGGATTGAGATACTGTTCAATACAATACATTCCAACAAATACAAGTCCATACATGCGCATATTATGAATGACAATACATGGATTTTAACTTTGCACATAAATGGAACCCATATAAGTCAATGATTGAGTTAAACCACCTAGGAAGCATTGAATCCATAAAAAAGTTGTAAACGAGAAGGAAACACTAAAGTGATTACAGTTGTTAATGCTCTGGGAGGAGACAAATTCGAACAGAAATATGAAATAGTTGAAAGTCTACGGAGTTTAATTCCAAAATTTAGAAGCAACACTTTCATATATGTACTTGAAAAACCTATAATTTGAGCACTCCTCACCAGTGGTCAGTCTATTATATGCTTGTGGAAACTATAAAAGCATTTTCCTTTAAATATGCATGAAAAATGTGTTATGCCTTATTGTCATAGAACAAACTAAAAAGCTATCACTATCTTCAATATATGCAAACAAGCAGTTTTGAAGCACATATACGCATTCAGAGAATCAACGGCTCACAAATGTTGTTTTATCCACCAAAACAGAGGTGAAAAAAGTCACTAGCCAGATGCGACAACGTGTTCTGATTCCTATACAAGCACCACCTTCATGATTCAGTCATAAACGAGAAACGACAAAACAATAATTATTAGCAACTGTCTCAGTAAATCCAGACAATTAAATACTTATTGAACTACCATCCACCAAGCATACACAGATGGAAATCGATCACAACATAATATGCTATACGACAAAAGAATTCATTAACATTCTATGGTGAGATCAGTATGCCAAATGTGCATCACATCATAAGCAGGGAAAAAAAAATCGAATCCAACAAAAACACGGAATCGAATCAAACAAAGACACGGAACCGAATCGAATCGAATCAGATAAATAATAGGACTCCAAAATTCTTATCCTAATGGAACCAAACATACCGATAGAATACGATCATAACATTACGTAGCCAGATATACAAATCAGATAAATTATACATTTTTAAAGCGCAATGTGCCAAACAGACAAATAGTATGAGAAAAAATGATATAGCCAAAGAATCAAACAGCATCTGACAACTAATAGAAGATAATGGAGTAAACAATTAAGCATATTATATGATGAACCAATATCTAAAAAGAGGTTATATAATACCATAATGAGTCCTAGTGCCACTAATGGAACCATCCCTTTTGGACCCGGAAGAAAAGCAGCTTCCCATAAACCTAAACTTAAACCAACACCCTGAACCAGTCTCCCTGGATTCATCAACTTTCTTCTTCTTTATCTTTGATTTACCAACACTCTAAGCAGGGCTGTCTCTAGAACATTTGTGACCCTAGACAGGAGTTACTTTGGGCCTTTTGAGATGAAAAATCACTAGGAGAGGTGGACAACAATCGGCTAGCTAACAAGGTTAGGTTGGTGGGGGGTTTTGAAGAGTAGATATTGGAGAAGTGATGGGTGGTGAAATGGGTGATTTCTAATGCCAAGATTGATAAGAAAAGGCTTGAGAAGTCACGACCCAATAGATATCGATGGCCAGCGATTGACAGAGTAAACGGATAAGGTATGATAAGGGTTTTGGTGAGAGGGTTGAAGGGAGGAAGATGGTGGTGTCAGGGAAGGCCAACAATATCGGGTACATGCCAAAAAGGTTGGAAATGGTTGTCATGTGGTAGAGTTGGGTTGCGAGATTCATCAAAAATTAGTCAAATAGAGGGCTATCAAGGTTGGGAAATGATAAAATAATGATTTCGGTCGATTTTGGTGAGAAAATTGATCGGAACCAAAATTGACCGAAATCAACTCCAAACCACTAGCGGCAGAAGAGGGCTGGAGATGATTTATGTAAATGTCAAATTTTGGGATTGAATTGGGGGTGAGTAATTTGAGATATGTAAACGACTATTTTAGTATTCTATTGTTAAAAGAGATTCAATGTGTTAATTTAGGGCTATAAACTAGAATATATAAAACTAGAGGTACAAACTTGCTATTTTGTTAAACTTTGAGTGGGAATATATGTAAAAAACTTATAATAAATTTGGGCTTTTTTTGGGGGACCCTTAGCGTAGATAAGAAATTATAAACCATTTTCATTTTTGTAAGCTAATTAAAAAAAAAAAAAAAAAAAAAAAAAAAAAAAAAAAAAAACAATTTATAAAAAATTTGGCCCCATTTTTTTTGGGGCCTAGGCAGGTGCCTCACCTGCACCCCTTAAGCGGCTCTGACTCCAAGTCCCCACATGATAGCATCAGGATATAATCCATCTTCCCCGATTCTAAAAATCAATTCTCAAGCCACAAAAGCACCACATTGCACCAAACATCAACCCCAAACAACAGTGAGAATCAAAACCCAACTAGAATAAACAAAACCCAAATTGCATAAGGAAACAATCAGTCAATCAATCAATAACCTCCCATATATAAAAGCACCACCTTGCCTCAAAACCAATCTTCAATCAAAAACCCACATACCACAAAACCAAAACACACACAAAAAAAAAAAAAAAAAAAAAAAAGAACAAAGAACAAAATTTTCTAAAACACGGCCTTCTCAAAACTGAAAAGCCATCATTTTTAAACAAAAGAACACAAAAAGAACTCAAATCCAGATCAGAGAAACAACATGTAAATCAAAAGAACCAACATTGAGACTAAACAGAAAGCAGTGGCACAGAAAGAAACACACAACTGAGAGCCTAAAGACAAAGCCCCAGAACTCATTAGTATACAGCAAAAAATGCAGTACAAATTCGTCAGTTATATTTGAGCTGACCAAACAAAAACAGACACACACACAAACACATTACCCACACGTAGTGCGAAGTTACAGAAACAAATGTACACACGAGGTTGGATTCAAGATTTGAAAGGGCAAGAAATGGAAGCAGAAAAATGAATACTAGTCTCTTGAAGGTGGAAAATGAGAAACACTGTTTCAATGAAATTGTGCTGAGAAATATTTTTATTGCTCAGACGCTTTAATTGCACTGAGAACCCATTTCCGTGTTCACCAGTTTTGCATAATCCTTTCTAGGATTTGTGATAACATGAATTAATGTTAATGCTTCATTTTTCAAAACTAGTGGCTTATACCATTATTGGTTTCTTTTTATGATATCATTGTATGCTTCTGGTGGTGTAGGGATCAGATAATCAAACTCATTATAGCATAATTCTACAGAATGCGGAACCAGTTGCCTTAATATCTCCCTGCCAAGGTTTCATTCAGATATTAATTTCATTAATGAAAGTTCTGGATTTATTATTTACTTTCCTTGTCTTACGGATTTGAAACTTGCCCTCCTATTTCCCCCAGGAAATGGAGGAAAGAAAACAGCTATACTTGTGACCTCACTGAAGGTTGGGGACGAAGTTTTGCTGAGAGTACAAGGTGGTGCACAACATACAGGAATAGAAATTCAAGAATTCATCGTGGAGAATTGAAGAAGCAAGATGACATATTCCTTCTGAATTTGTTCATGACTGTTGCCGATATAATGCCAAAGTGTGATATATGTCCTGCTGAAAGCCCTGCATCTACATCTAAAAGACAAATAGATAGTAAAATTATTATGCAATAGTAAGGTTATTTCTCCATAAAGTCAGCATACTTTAATTACCATTATTTTTCTCCGATCTAAATGAAGTGCCAATACCAGTATCAGAAAAGCATGAGACCAAGAATTAGTTTCTTCGTTTGAAAGGTTTCTATTTCCCTTGTAGAGTTAGCTTATACTATGGTTGTGACCGAGAAAAGCGATGTTTATAGTTTGGGAGTAGTGGCACTGGAAGTATTAATGGGAAGGCATCCAGAAGAAATTCTCTCCTTATCATCATCATCATCATCTAACCAGAGTGTAATGCTAATTGATGTATTGTTTGAAGTTGATGTATTCTTTTGGGTCCTTTTCAATCATGAATGTATGTCTAATAAAAAGGGGGGCATCAGAAGACTTTGACTCAGTGTTCATGTATCAAGCCCATATCTCTAATTAATATAAATTGTCATCTTACGGGTTTCGAAAAGTTCTTTTTTATGAAGTTCAGAAATTGTAAGGAATTTTCAGAAGGTCAGTCTGAATAATAAAGCCTTAGCCCTGATTACAGTTTTCTCTAATAACTTTTCATTAGTTTCAACTTTGCGTGTGGAAAATCACCACCAATTATGTTTGTGGAAAATCCATGCCAATTAGTACTCTCGTGGAAAATTTTTCTGCTCCATAATGACCTGTAAATTTCTTGAAGCATATATTTTTTTATTAGCAATAGTTTTCTAGTTACTTTTATCAATCTTTGTAAGCCATTTAAGATTTGGGTATGTATCCAACTGTGAAGGAATTTTAAGCACTAAATCAAGTTGAATGGACTCGATCAGTTATCCAGATAATATAGTCTCTAATTAGCATCTGTGAAATTCTATATAGCCATCCAAAATAAGATAAAGTTCTATTACTCTGAAAGTTTCTTCTGGTTTTTCTGAGACTAAGGCCATTTTCTTAGAATAGTTTACTGAAAAGGGACCATCTGTCACATGTGAGCACCATTTTCTAATGTTGCATTTGCATTGTTATGCAGAATGATACATCTTACATTGGAGCAATTGTTGGACGATTTGCTAACAGAATCGGAGGTGCTTAGTTTACTTTAAATGGAACCCTTTATAAGCTTGTTGCCAATGAAGGGAAAAACATGCTTCATGGTACAATTCTGCTTTCTGAATTGCTGATATTTCTTTTTCTTCTATTTCAAAGAGATGTCTCATAATTTCCCAAATGAAATTCATGTAGGTGGCCTTAGAGGCTTCAGTGATGTTGTTTGGAAAGTAAAGAAGTATAAGAATGAAGGTGATGCTCCCACAATTGTCTTTGCCTATCATAGCTTTGATGGTGAAGAAGGTAATTTATACATTTTAAAAAATATTTTGCTCTATAAAGTTTAATTTTCACCTTTGGTGTATAACTTGTAAATCTTCATACTAATTTCTCCAATCTTTCACGGGATTCCCCAAAGATCTTTATGTTACTGTTGGTTATACTTTCATTGGAGACAAAAAACTGAAAATAACAATGAAAGCCACAGCTCTAAACAAGGCAACTCCAGTAAATCTAGCACAACACACCTATTGGAACCTTGGATGTCACAACAGTGGTAATATCCTTTCTGAAGAAATCCAGATATTCGGTTCCTACTTCACTCCTGTGGATAGCAAATTGATTCCCACCGGCAAATTTGAATCTGTGAAAGGAACTCCCTATGATTTCCGCTAGCCTCACAAAGTTGGCAGCAGAATCTCCAAGCTGCCTACTGGTTATGACATTAACTATGTGCTTGATGGTGGTGTTGGAAACAAACTGAGGCGAGCAGCGATTGTGCATGACAAGAAGTCAGGAAGAGTGATGGAGCTGTTGACAGATGCTCCTGGAATGCTGCTTTATACAAGTAACTTTTTGAAGAATGTGAAGGGGAAAGGTGGATTTGTGTATCAGCCTCATGCTGCACTATGCCTGGAAACTAAAGCTTTTCCAGACTCAGTGAATCACCCTAATTTTCCTTCAACTATTGTGGCTCCAGGGAAGACTTACAAGCATCACATGCTTTTTAGGTTTTCAACTGCAGCTCCATATTCTTAATATTTGATGACAAAACTAAGAGATTGTAACACTAGGCTACAAATGAATAAATTAATGGTAGGGGATATTGAGGCCTTGCCATTGCATGCTTGTTCTAGTTCATTTTCTTGTAGAATGTTAATCTTTCAGAACCTGCTTTTCCTGAAGTTGGTTTGAACATTCCTGAGCAATGCTTTTAATTGATAATTTATGATCTCTTTTGTAATTATCACTTCATTTAAACTAAATCTTTAGTTAAGGTAATAAATAATTTTTTAACGAGAATAATAAAGATAGATTGACAAATCATTTTTGCTAATTTTTTTCCACAATGGCAATTAATCAGAAGGGACTCATTGTGAGCTTTTACGTTATGTTTGTGAAAAAAAGTTAGTTAAAAAGGATTTTATTTTTAATCTTTTAGTTCAAAAATAAGTTCTGGGTATAATGTGTAGTTGGGACCGTCTTGAAATGCATATATATATATTTAACCTGTAATGTTCATTTGTGGCTTTTGTTGTGGAACATCAAGCTTTCATTTTTTTCCTGTTGATACTTGGAAAGTGCTTTGTCTTGTTTCAGTTTTCTGAACATAATCTTTTGTGCACTTTATGATAAAATTCATAGATGTATAACATAATTCATTCTTGATTATTTGTTACCATGGCAAACTCCCTCTACTGCTCTTGCTTCTTCATTAGCCTTTTATTTGTAAAGAAAGAAATTAATAATGTTTTTACTTAGGAAATATATGACCACCTTTTTCTCTTTCAAAGCATTACATGTTCTACTATGTTACGCCCTGGTTTTGTGTTTCATAGGTTATACCTGCGGAAAATATTGTTGCAGCATTCCAAGGGAGTCAAAAAACTGTATTTGCAATCTCAAAAACTCCCTCTGATGCCCAAATTTTTCTTGAGGTATCTCTTAATACTGTACTTTGCAAACCACTTAATTAACTTTTTGTTTGAAAAAACTTAGCTTTATATATATATATTTTTTTTTTTTTTTTTGGTGCCTCAAACTTATAGTGAATTCTGTGTATGTAGGATTAGAGCAAGGCCCGTGGGTGGAGTTGTGCTAAAAGTTGAGGACGCTAAAGCTGTTCTTGACCTAAAGGTAATTATTTCTTGGCAGGCTTCTCAGGAAGTGAGGCATAGCTCCTTATCTTTGACAAAATTATCAGGAATATTTGACAGAAGGAATGAGAGTTAGCAATCTCCTGAGCTTGACTAAAGCCACTGTAACCGAGTCAATGTAGCTGGAATGGGTGATCGAGTTTGTGTGGATCTTTGTATCCTCATGAGACCTGGTGAGAGACTTCTAGTATGCTCTAACCTCCATTCTGCAAGTGGATCTTGCAGTTTTGTTAAGTTAATCATATTTTATGCTCCATTCTTATTTGCACAAATACTTTTTATAGGTTGGATCTTTGCTGGGGACTTTCTTTTCCACTCTGAGTGCTTGGATGCAAACTACATTGCCAGCAGGCCCTTTCGAGTCAATGCTGTGAGTCTTGGCTTTGAAGTTGCTGCAGATAATATACTGATGAATTAACATTCATTATTCAATCAATTAATTTCAGTGGATGAAATGGGTTGATTAATGCCACACTATAAACACAGTCTTGGTGGTTTGGTTTTTTAAGACGGTTAAAGAGATGTCAACAAAGTTATGATGGGGACTGTTCATCCCATAGATAAGCAGAAGGCTTGATTCATGTACCTGTAAACAAAAGTATCATGATAATTTGTTAGTATTTCACTCTTTTTTCCATATATTTGACAAAGGACCTTTTCAAGGATGAAATTGATTTCCATACTCAAGAAATTGATTTTCTTCATATATTTATGTTCGTTACAAAGTGCTGTGTTTTAATTTTCAGGGACCTGTGCATGCCTATGTGCTGTTCCAGGAGGAAAAACGTGCTACCTTTCAGAGTTAAAATCAGGCAAAGAAGTGATTGTGGTGGATCAGAAAGGCCAGCAACGAACAGCAATGTTGGTCGTGTGAAGATTGAGCTAGACCTCTTATCCTTGTAGAGGCAAAGGTTTGTGTCTTCCATACCATTTCTAAACAAAATGGAGTTTCTTCTAATGATTTTAAAATTTA